TGATTTGTGGCAGACGAGGCTGGGTTTGCCTCCAGCGCCTTTACTCTCCGTTTACACACAGGACTGACCCCCTGCTGTGGAGCGCACTCTGATCAAGAAGACCTTCACGTCTTGCGAGCATAGAACTGACCTCCACAGGCTCCCTCCCGCCTGCGCATGGGCTTGGAAGGAACTTGTGGGTCACTAAAGATTCCAAGTCCACTTCAGTTTCATGTCCCCCCCTTCATCAGCCACTCATGTCTTTATTTAGACTCAAGGGGTAAGGAATCTAGAGGGATTTTTTTAAGGCTGTAAGGCTTCACGCTTAAAAATAATTCATTTATTTTATTTCTTTAGGCTTTTAAAGTATAGGTTTTTCTTGAATGTAATCTATATGGTAGCGAGAGCTAGAACATTCTTCCATAGAACTGCTGGGTGGGTTCGACCACGACGCCACCTTACGCCCTCTGCATTTATTGCCGCGTCGGATTCCCTATGTTGGTGGGCAGACGAGAGGGCCTGGAGACAAGTGGCCATTTTTAAATCGGTTTTCATCTCCAGAATTTGGACTATTAAAAAGAGCATGATGATGTGGGGAATTTGGGGGTGTGGAGACCCTCAAGCCAAACAAAACCTCTGCAGTGGGAACCCCACCCAGGCCCCCACATCCTCCAGGACCGCTTTCTGCAAGGGTGCTGAAACATTCTGAGGTGAGTCCACTGGAGTCTCCTTGGGTCCACATTGACAAATTGTAGCAAGAAACAGAAACACTATAGAATCGCATCCCTTTTCATCTTCCGGCCATTGAAACGCAGACCTCAGCGAAGGCGTGCTTTCCCCTCTGTCTCTCTGGGCTCCTTCCTAGGGCCCATTATCTCACAGGCACACAGAGAAGAGTCCGAGAGGGGCGGCTTCAAATCCAGTTTGTGATTTAAATGGTGATATGATCTCCATCAACTTATATCTTCTTGAAGATAAGAGTTTGCTTAGTGATAATGAAAAGAGGAACATCAACTCCGCACCAGGAGGCTGTAATAGCCAACTAAGGTGATGTTGCTAAGTGCTGAGTCACGTGGCCCATAGACAGTAGCGCTGCTCACACGACGTAAACTGTGATGCCTGTTATCATGGGCAGTCAGCCACTTCCCATCTTCCCATCATTCTGAACTGCTTTGGCCTGCTCTCAGAGGCATATACTTGTATTTCTAGGATTACATGGCACCACAAGGGTTTTAAATAGGCAACCAGGAAAAAATACTTTAACACAGACCCGACCCGCCCCCCCCCCCCCCATTGGTTAAATAAAACCAAAGCTGAACTAATGAAATCACTTATGTTTGAAGAAAACAAGGCGTATGCAACCCAAGCCTCGAATCTAGTTTCTTCCAAATCTTTGCTCTGCATCAGACCAATTCCTTAGGGAGTTGGATGTCGGTAATTCTAAGGGATGTCCGACTGGTCTTATTTGTAATTCATCGTTGATAAGCCTGACCTTCATTGGTGTGGGGGCCCAAAACTCCAGGGAATTCTGGCTCCTGTGGGGAAGAGCCATCGATCAGCCTGGGGGTGGATTCCTCTTCTTCCTCTTCACCTTCCTCCTCCTTTGGCAAGGGTGGTGGGGTCAGGAGCTCTCTGTTCCCAGAAGGCATCGTTGTTCCTATTTCAATCTGAGAAAGAAGTAGAAGTTCAGCAAGTAACCTTTTCCACCAACCCAGTAGGACAGTGACACAAATTTGAAATGTATTCATAATGGCCACAAGAGGGCACTCCTGTTCTGAAGTTCAACACACTGGCTCTCCCTACTTGCTGGGAAGGCACATATGGGTCTTGTTACCGTTATTGTTGCTTTTATAACCAGTTCGGTCTTCTCAAACCTTAGCTATCTTTTCCGATGTTTTTCCCCATTTTCTGTGCTCCTGCTCTTTTTAATCTCTTTATGCCTTTTTCATAGCATACATTTGGGAAAATCCATTTAATGCCTTTAGAATACAAAACATTGCAAGAATGCTTTATTGTTATGAAAAAATCAATTATACGCATGTGTCCAAAGTAAAATATAAATAAAAAGCCCCTTTCACGTACAGTCCTCCCATCTTTTCCTTAAAATTATATTTACTGGTCATATATTGATGTTTATTTCCCAGATATCCTACTGCTTCACTTCTTAGATACCCGTGTTCTGTTTCTTCAAATTTATCCTTCCACCAAGAGTATTTTACAGAAAAGTGTCATTTTTACTAACCTAAATCTAAGAAAAATAGCTACTATATGATCTTATTAGGATATGCCACTTCTCCCATATTGTAATGTTATTTTGGATAGCAGGCATCACTCACAAACTATTTGGAAATTGACATTTTAGACAACTTAGAAAACAGGAGGCATTTGTGAGATCGAGAAAGCATTCAGTTAGTTTTTTCAGAGATAGTAGTTTCAATCACATTTGATTTTTTTAGTTCTTACCCGCATATTCTAAGTAATAAGCTGATGCTTCTAAGAATATTATTGGCATTTAGAGCAACCCCTTACACTCCCCTTCATTCCCTGGCTTCACTGCCTATTCCTTTGCCTAACTTAGCAAAATCTGCTCAGCTGGGGCAGGATGTCTGCCAAGACCCAATGGAGTGCCTACATCCTTCGAAGCCCACAACCCTCATGTTGTCCCCCAAACCCTGTCCAGCTTCATCTTGATTTATCTTCATTTGAAACTCAAAACTTCCCTAAATTACTTTTTAGGTTTTTTACTGCCAAACATAATGCCAAATCGTTACTTTTATCTATAAAATGAATACATAATTCCAATCCAAACCAAACGCACTGCCATCAAATCGATGTCAACTCACAGCGACTCCACAGGACAGGGTAGAACAGCCCTTCGGGTTTCCAAGACTCAAACTCCTTAGCAGGAGCCCTGGTGGCACAGTGGTTAAGAGTTCGCAGCCCCACTATGGGGCTGGCCTCCTAGGGGATACCTGATTAGGCCAGCTCTTTCCTGGATGCTTAAGGCCATCATAGTGTTTGAAAGGTGCACATATTCTTAATGGCACTTTTGACAGATCGGACTACATGGCTACACAAAAGAGAATCCCCTCTTAGAAACACTAAACTCTCTTTTGTGAATTTAATTTTATTATTTGTGCTGCCTTTTGTGCTGCTGGGGCACCATGCATCTCTCCATTTCGGGCCTTCCCACACTGTATCATTGTAGTTCCAACCATTTCTGTCTGTCGAGGCCAATTTAGTGTTTACTCTCTGTTAAGTCTTGAATGGTTGTAGGATACACCCACACAAATAATTCAACTGGGACTCTCTGAAGCTTCGGGATTTTGTTGTTTTGTTTTTTTTTAGTCCAAACCATACGGCATTCACAACGCTGGGCTTCCTTTGGCTAGTTTTGCTGAAGAGAACCAAGGAATGGGCCCATGGTTCCTGAAATCCATGAAACCAACCCCAAAGCATGTCGTACAATATTTGGGGCACCCAGAGCTGTACAGGAAGATATTAGAAAGCTTGGCTCGAAATCTCTGGTGAGAACTGTGGGCCCACTTTAAAGAGAAAAGACATACGGTTCCCATCTGTGGAGTCAGAATGAGGTAGATTAAGAAGAGGTGGGTTTGCAGCAAGGCCAAAAGAGGCGTTAGGAAGAGCGGAAATTGAGACAGATGTTTCATGGAACGGAGGGAGCTTAAAGGGAGAAACACATTCCAGACGTGGTGCTTTGAATCTTTCACTCTGTAGAAAAAAAATGTTTGCACATACCTTTAAAAAAATATGAGATAATTGTTTTTCCACCGATTTGATGGGAAGCTGCACGATCTCACTGTCAAACAACAGAAGAGGGGAGCCGGCTTCTGTGTGGTTCCCAGACACTGGGTTGCGGAGGCGGCCTTGCTAATAGAAGGTGACCGCTGAGCACACATCAAAACCAAGACAGGGATGCCTTGAAGCTGTGGCACGGTAACCTCGGGAAAGGGACCCTGGCGTTACAGCGGTTCAGCTCTCAGCTACCAACCTCAAGGTTAGGGGTTCAAACCCATGGGAGAAGGGTGTGGCTGTTAGCAGTTCTCTGTGGTGAGAGCGAGAATGGACCCCAAGGTTTATTTGGTAATGCCGACGTGCTGGGCCTGGAGAGGTTTTTGCATGATGGACACATTTATTCTTACTATAAAATGGAAGTGCTTTAGGCTTCTGGCTTGTGTCCTCTTTGAACTATTTTCACAGTGCGATAAGAAGCTATGAGGCAATGCATGCAAATAAATGAAACCAGAGACACAGCCTCCCAGCCCCCAGGAGCAGATTTTTATGCTTATGCTGCAGAAGCAGGCATGTGGATCTCAACACAAATGGCCTGAACACACTCCGTCCCCTGCTTTCTCCGAGGTAACACCACTGATAACACCCAAAAGTAAATGTAATCAATCTCAGGGTGGTCCCTACTTCTCCCAGAGTTTCGCCCCCTCCTTTTGACTTGATATTTCCCTATTTTACTCCGACTTGCTTCCTGCTACATCCGTCTTTAGAGGTGTTCTTCGTGTTTCCCTTAAGCTTAAGAAGAAAGAAAAGAAGTACTGTTCTTGATGGTTGCCTTCGAGCCAATTCCAACTCATGGCAAACCCAGGTGTGCAGAGCGTGTCAAGGTTGCGACGGTTCAGAAACAGATTGCCAAACCTGAGTTTTCACGTGGGTTTTATCTGCCCACCTTTGTTGGCGAGCTAGTAATTGAGTGCTTCACCATCTATGTCACCCAGAGCCCTTTAAAATACCATAATGGTCATTTCTACATCTGACATCTGACTACCATCTTGGCCAGCAACACGTGTTTATATCTTCTTGAAATAAGTTGAGTTGGTTTACAGTGGGTTATCTTTTTCTACCCTCTTGTTTACCTGACCTTGGAGTATAATTTAGGACATTAAAACAAATCAACAAAAGGACCAGAGACTTATTTGGGGAAACACAACCTGTGCTCATGAACGAGATGATCTACATCCTGGAGGGAGGATGCACAGCCCACAGACAGTGATCTGGGGAGAGTGAGGGCCCAGCAAATGCCAGTGCCCAGAAAGTGAGTGTCTCCCCCTTGGCAACAACACACCCTTGTGAACAATGCAGATCTTGCATACAAAGCCAGAGTAAAGGACACTGAAATGACCCCGAAGTGTCTCACACCAGATTTCCTCTCCCTAGGGAAATGAGGCACAGCAGAAAATCATTTAGAGCATTTCTTGCAGAAGATTATGTGAACTGATGCTTTTATCAGCAATAATTATATTGTTATTAATACTGGCGCAAAAGACTAGAGACTGCCTTTCTCTAATGAAGTAGCAAAGTTGTCCATAGAAGAATCTCTCTATGAAAGGACTCATCACTGTTTTAAACAGCCATACCTTTCAGTTACAAATTAATTCTCACCAAATGCATCTATCCCTTAACCAAAAAGTACATCTAAATGGTTTAGATAACCACATTTCTATCTTTAAGCATACTTAATTCATTTCAGATGAAAAAGAAAACAAAATATTGTGTTCAGAAAGAGCCAACACAAGTTTTTTTTCCTGATTGTCTTATTTTCAGTAACAGTTTGAATTGCATATAATTCACGTATCATACATTTCAATCATTCAATCATACTCAAATAATTGGGTACCAATGACCACAATGGATTTTAGGGTCTTTCTTCTTTTTTGTACATATTGTTGTGAGCTCCTCATTCTCCACCTATCTCCCCAACCCTGCTGCCCGAGGAAACGATTAGACCAGCTACTGCTGGGTCCCAGAGAAAGGAAACCATGCAGTTTGTGAGCATTTCCAGTACTGACTTCTTAAAGGAGCCGGCCCTCTGTTAGTGATCATTCCTGTCAATCACAAACTATTTGCATGTACATGTGGGTGTTACCAGTGGTGCCTTGAGCAAAACAGGAGCAGAGGAGTGTTGTTCTGGCCATTTGTGATTATATCCATTCACAGAATCAGAAAGCACTGTGTTTCAACTAGCCGAACTCACAGTGTCTTACTGTTTGATATTTAATACCTTTCAGCACTTAACCTGCGGCTACGTTCCAATGAGAAGCTCAATGAACAGTTAACACAGGTGGGATGGAAAAAAATTGTGCTTGAGAAGTTAAAGTATTCTGATTAGATTTCTAACTTCGTAAGAGAATCAAAAGATAACGGAATAAATGATTTTGTAAATGGATGGAAGACAAGCCTTATATAGTTGGCCGGACTAAATTTCTCTGCCCAATATCATGCGTCAGTTGTAATCAATTGCCCATTTTACCTATTAATGTTATTTCTAAACCACAACACTATCACTATTTTTTCTTTCAAAATCACTCATATATAAGTTACTGTCATGTTTTGTCTAGAATGCAATAATGGTCTATTATATGATGCTTTAATGTCCTTTAATATGATGGTAAGCCTAAACGTACAACTACTAGAGTTTCAGTTCATAAATATGTGGGTTTATTCTACATAAAATGTGTTTAAGCATGATGAAGTGCCCTATGAATTGGGCTGCTAATTGCAAGGTTAATAGTTTCAAACCACTAGTGGCTCTGCTGGAGAAATATGACATGTTCAACTCCAATAAAGAAGTGTACTCTCTGAACCCACAAAGGCGGCTCCACAGGGCCCTGTCAGGTCATTAGGAGTCAGCACTGAC